TTTTGCCCCAGGAGGCTTATTGTGCAGCAAGAAACATCATATCCAACAAATGCTCATCGGGTTCCTCCCACTGGACATCAGCCTGAAGGTGGAGCCATGGAAACTTAACTCACACATGAAGATCAATCATTGTCTTCCTCTATTGTCTTTTTGCAACCTCTGTTCTTTTTTGAGTAGAAAACAAAATAGACTCCAACTTGAAGAGCTGTCGTATTTGCTGCTTTCCAATTTCAGAGTTTGGTGGCTTCCTGTGGTAGAGGAGGAGGAAGTAGGAAGAGCTTTAAAAAGTGCCTGTGTGCATCTGCCAAGGCCAAATTCTCTAGAAGCACAACAACACATCCTCTCTTCGGTTCCTCCGTCTCCTCAAGCACACACAGGTGCAGAGCAATGCTGCATTAAGGAGTGTGTAATGGTGATAATGTCTGTTAATGGTTTAATAATTTGAGGCTGTGGTAATGACAATAATGATGCACCAGGAATAGTCGCGTCCCAAAATAGAGCAGGGGATGGGTGCCATTAAACAGACTCCACAGAAAGGTCCTTTGTTTTGTGTGTGTGTGTGTGTGTGTGTGTGTGTGTGTGTGTGTGTGTGTGTGTGTGTGTGTGTGTGTGTGTGTGTGATGTGAAGGATTCACACATGCAGAGGGTAAGTGTGCAAGCATGCATTTGTTACAAAGAGAAATGATTTTATTGTTATTGTATGTTTTGAATTGTTAAACTCTAAGATTGTTAAAAAATGAAAGCACACAGTGTGTTTGTGTTTGTTTGATAATGCATGTGTTGCACCTTTTGAATACCTAAACAGCACTTAGTCATCAAAGTAACAACAATGCATGCAATAAAAACAAGTGTTAAGTTCACACCTGCAGGTCAGAGTAACAGCAAAAGGCAGGTGTGAAACCCTCTGATCCTGCAGCCTGTAAAGATGTTTCCATATTAGAGTCATGCATGCAGTCATATCATAAACATAGGATACATTTTTATAACAGCATATGTGTCACTGTTGCAACTGCCCACCCTCAATAGCCGAGTTCAGTTACAATGCTAACTTCCTCCATTTGAATAAATCATGTGAATATTTTCATTTCGTGTGTAATCATCTTTCAGTCATGTGGGCAGTAAGATAAATAATACGTTCTTTATTTGACCCATTTTGGGGGGAAATGATCATATTACAGCAGTTAAAGTAATGATAAAAGATTTCACGGGGGCAGCTGTGGCGAAAGGTTGGTGGTTAAGTCCCTGCATGGTTCCTCTAGCCTGCATGTGGA